ACACAACCTATAGCTCCAGAGATAATTAAGAAACAACTAATGGTAGCAACTAGTTCTAAAAACCAAGTATTAATAGGCAGAGTATACAAAAACCCAAGGAAGTTAGATACTACAATTCCTATTAGACATTATGTAACAGATGTGATGGATGATATTAGAGGTTCTCCTATAGCACCTTGTGATGGATGTGAATTTAATGAGGTACGAACCAAGGGACTTATTACACAAGATAAAGGTGAAAAATTGAAGGGATGTATATTTGATGTAAATATGGATGACATATATACTTTACCATGTCAGAAATCAGTGGTATCCCTCAGTAACAAAAACGATCGTAGACAACGTAACAGATTATTATTATCACCTTTTTCAATGAACACATTTATTAAACAAAGTAAATCTTTGGAACAAGAAAATACAATTCAAGATATAACACCTAGCAACAGTTATTGGGAAGGAATTTTAACCTTTCCTATAGATATCCAAAAGAAAATTGATGATATACAAATCTTACTTGTAAATCAAAAAAACATAAGTGTATATACCGATGGATCTCTATCATCAAAGGATCAACTAAAAACAAAATCTACAATACAAACGGATAAAAGTAAAGTAATGAGTTTTGGAATTACATTTGACATTTCAGAAATAGACATCCCAATAGATATCTGTGGAAGGATAGAAGGTCCCCCTTCATCTACTAGGGCAGAACTATGGGCTATTTTAGTAGCAATATATGTTGTCCCCAATATGACGTCAGTGAAAATTAACACTGATAGTTTCTCAGCTATTTGGGCACTTAGAGGCTTTTTAGAAAATAAAAAGGGTAAAGCATGGAGCAATTATAAATCTCCAATATTGCTTCAAGCAATTATTGAGCTCATTAAAGGAAAACAAATAGAAATAGATTTAATAAAAGTGGAAGCGCATAGTGGTGTCCCGTTAAATGAACGAGCAGACACGTTAGCAAAAAAAGGACTCTTACATACAGAAATATGTAGTATAAATGAACAACAATTAAGAGATAGAAAAGCTTTGTTCAAATGGAATAACGAAAACATTGATACCTCCATTAAAGAATTTATAAAGAAAAAATCAGAAATCAAATGGCTAGTAAAATGGCGTACACAATATCGTACTAATAAATGGGCAAATCAATATATAATTAACTCCACTGATTGGATATCCACATGGGAATTCATACATGATACCAAAATAGTATCAAATTATACTAGCACTGAAGATCAAAAATATCATTCATTTAACATTAAAATATTAAATGATGAATTACCTGTAATGAATAATTTAAATCAAAGAAAACCTACAGTGTATACAACTAACAAATGTCCCTTTTGTAAAACTCGGATAGAGGATTCAATACACCCCTTTTTATGTGGAGAGCAAGCAGAAAAGACAAAATCGAAATTCGAAAGTAGCCTATTAGATACAATACTGGATCACAAGGGTAGAGAGATGGCTGACAAAGTAAAACATGACCTAAATAACTTTACGGTCTTCAAACTAGACATTCCTCGACAAATTAATGGAACTTCTCCAACTGACACATTTGGATTAATGGATTGTATTCGAGGTTTAGTTCCGGTTACCTTAAAAAACCTATTAAGGAAAAATGGAGGTAATATAGAAGATAATAAATTGATTTT